CGATCACATGACCTAAACCAACGATCACATGACCTAAACCAACGATCGCATGACCTAAACCAACGATTGCATGACATAAACCAACGATCGCATGACCTAAACCAAGATCACATGACCTAAACCAACGAACACATGACGTAAACCAAGATCACATGACCTAAACCAAGATCGCATGACTTAAACCAACGATCGCATGACCTAAACCAACGATCGCATGACTTAAACCAACGATCGCATGACCTAAACCAAGATCACATGACCTAAACCAACGAACACATGACATAAACCAAGATCACATGACCTAAACCAAGATTGCATGACTTAAACCAACGATCACATGACCTAAACCAACGATCGCATGACTTAAACCAACGATCGCATGACCTAAACCAACGATCGCATGACTTAAACAAACGATCACATGACCTAAACCAACGATCACATGACCTAAACCAAGATCACATGACCTAAACCAACGATCGCATGACTTAAACCAACGATCGCATGACCTAAACCAAGATCACATGACCTAAACCAACGATCACATGACCTAAACCAACGATCACATGACTTAAACCAACGATCGCATGACTTAAACCGACGATCACATGACCTAAACCAACGATCACATGACCTAAACAAACGATCACATGACCTAAACCAAGATCACATGACCTAAACCAACAATCACATGACTTAAACCAACGATCGCATGACCTGAACCGACGACCCCCTGACCTGAACCAAAGACCTCATGACCTGAACCAAAGACCTCATGACCTGAACCAACGATCATAGCTTGGTCACGTAAGCGCGGCAGCTGAGGCTCAGGTTTCAGATCAGTTTTTGACAGGAGCGTGTTGTTTCAGTGCGGTGTCCGGCAGATCAGTTCTCCTGCTCCAATGGTCAGTGTATCGGCAAACACAAGAAGTGCGACCACAACACGGACTGCAGCGACAACTCCGATGAGATCGGCTGCTGTGAGTTGTTAAAAATATTTACTGATTATATCTAGAGGTATATTTAGATTTACATTTAGAAACTAAACTCTGTTTCACACTTTTCTAAAACGTGTGAATGTTTTTTCTTCTGTGGTGTCAGATCCGACGGAGGAGCCGCAGCCCTCGTCCAACAACACCATCAGCTCCATCGTCGGCGTGGTTGTAGCGTTGTTCATGGTGGGTGCCATCTACTTTGTGTGTCAGCGCGTCCTCTGTCCTCAGATGAAGGACGACGGCGAGACCGTCACCAATGACTTTGTGGTTCACGGGCCGTCTGTACCACTGGGATACGTGCCACACCCGAACTCGCTGTCCAGCTCGCTGCCAGGTGAGCCTCAGCTCAGAGCCACGCACCTGAGGTCATGGCAAACATTTCAGTCAGAGAAAGAAGTCCTTTTTCAGTTTTTTGTAGGGCTTTTATTGTGAAAGGCCTGGTTTGCATTTCCTGCTGCAGCAGCTGGATCCAAGTTGATTTGAAAGAGCTTGATGGTTCTGCTTTGTTCAAATGATCTTCTGCTGACATCATTCCACCTGTCCACAGGTATGTCCAGAGGGAAGTCTGTGATTGGCTCTCTGAGCATCATGGCTGGTGGCAGCAGTGGCCCGCCGTACGACCGCGCTCACGTCACCGGAGCCTCGTCCAGCAGCTCTTCCAGCACTAAGGGAACCTTCTTCCCCCCGGTAAGAATTGGACCTTTTTGACCTGGTCTTGGTCCACGCTCATCTCTATTCTCTAATCCTGATCCGGGTCGCTGTGTGTTTTCTAGATCCTGAACCCACCCCCATCTCCTGCCACGGTACGATCCCAGTACACCCTGGAGTTCGGTTACTCCTCCAACAGTCCGTCCACTCACCGCTCCTACAGGTACGACTTCTGTTCCCACAGGTACGGCTTCTGTTCCCACAGGTACAGCTTCT